TTAGCCTCCCATTATATCTGTACCATATGGAGATTCCCCCGGTACAGCTATTGAAGGCTTCACGAACTACGTGGTCAAAATAGATGTTAAATAATGTGGGAGCCAAAGGACATCCCTGTCGCACCCCAAGGTGTACAGGGAATGGCTCTGACTCCCGGCCACGTAGTTTTACCCGGGCCCGCTCACCATCATGAAGGTCCTTAATGATCGTGAGCAGAGGGTCAGGTACTCCAAAAGCACGAAGAACGACCCAGAGCCCAGGCCTACTGATGGTATCATAGGCCTTGACCAGGTCAATAAAGCAGAGATGTAGGTCTTGTTGGAATTCCCTACACCTCTGCTGTAGCAGACGGACAGAAAATATGGCATCTGTGCAGGACCGCCCTTTCCTGAAACCGCATTGGGGCTCCGCAAGCCTCTCCTCAGCGTGCCTGGCAAGGCGATGCTGAATAATCCTTGCCAGGACCTTTCCCGGCACACTGAGGAGTGAGATGCCCCTATAGTTGTTACAGTCTGTGCGGTCCCCCTTCTTAAAAAGGGGGACCACCAGGGCATCCTTCCAATCCTGCGGAACCCGTCCAGTGGTCCAGACTGTTGTTATGATGTCATATAGGGCAGTCTGTGCACAAACGCCACCCTCCCTCAGCATTTCGCTTGGGAGATCATCTCTGCCCGCTGCCTTTCCTGGTCTCAGACTCCGGATCGCCTTCAATACTTCCTCAGCAGATGGCACCTCAGCCAGCCACTCACAGGGGGTGACTTCATCCAATATTTGAGGCACCGCAGCCTCAGCAGGGTCATCCTCACTTTGTGCCGCGATGTTTTGCTGGCTGAGGGATTTTCCCTCCCCCAGGACCTCACAGAAATGCTCAGCAAATCTGCGAACCTGTTCCTGGGGGTCGGAAATTGGATCACCGTTTTTTCCCCTAATGATGGTAATAGGTGTGGCGCTGCAGGTTACTTTTTTGATGGAGTTAAATAGAGATTTGTGATCACGGGCCACTGAGGCAGACTCCATCTCCTCAGCAACCCGCGACCACCACCCATCCTTGCAGCGCCTCACGGCTCTCCGAACCTCCGAGCGAAGGCTGCGGTAAGCCTCCTCATTCTCTGACGTGGGATTCTGTAGCCGATGACAGTGGGCCTGTCGCTTTTTCTCAACCATCCTGAACAACTCCTCTGTCATCCAGGGTGTCTGGGGAGGTCTGGACCGCGTACCCAAAGCAGCCATTGCAGCTGCATGAGTCACAGTCCTAAACCTCGCCCATTTACCCTCGACATCAGGAGGAGTCGGGGACGATGCCAATCCCAGCCGCAAGCGATGATGAAATTCTCGCTTGCAACTTTCATCAGATAACTGAGACCAGGCCACTTTAGGTTGGAATGGGGTCCTGGGTGTACACCCACCACCGGAGTGGAAGAATGGCAGGCGCATCTTACAGATGACTAGTCGATGGTCAGAGGGCAGATCAGCTCCACGGTAGGTCCTGGTGTCAAGGACATGGGCTCGCATTCGCTGGTCCGTCACTATGTAGTCCAGCAGATGTTCTTGCTTGGACCCGGCATGCATCCATGATGTTGTGTGGATGCGCCGATGCCGGAACAGCGTGTTGGTAATTACAAGCCCATGGGCTGCACAAAAATCTAGCAGCCTCCTACCGTTGTTATTGAGCTGATCTGGCCCATGCCCTCCAATCACTCCAGACCAGGTGCCAGTATCATGACCAACTCGGGCATTGAAGTCACCCAACATGATGACTCTATCCCGAGGGGCCACTTTAGCCAGCACCTGTGACAGGAGGTCATAGAAGGCATCTGACTCATCGGCTTTGCCTGCATCCCTCCACGGATGTTCATCTTCGGTGGGGGCATAAGTAACCACGACCACCATTCCTCGCCTCCGGTTGATGGGAAGGCGAGCCCAAAGTAGCCTGGGGCTTACAGCTTCCCACACCTCACCACCACGCTCCCACGCCCCCTTCATTCTTTTGTTCAAAAGAAGACCCACACCCTGTTGTTTGGCAGTCTGCTGCCCCGAGTAGAGGACTGTCCACCCCTCATGGTGGCAGGAGCCAGAGCCGGTCCACCGGACCTCCTGAATGCCGCATAGATCCAGGCGGTACCGGTCCAGCTCCCGACAGAGGAGTGGCAGCCTCTCCTCTGCAGTGAGCGTTCGAACATTCCACGTGGCCAACCGTAGTGGCTTTTCGTTGTTTCTGGAGTAGCCCCGAGGGTAGGTATTCAATCTCCTGGCTCCGCCAATTGGGGTTTGGCCAGGAGACGTCATAGACGCCTGGCCCCCCGGGGCCTCCGGCACAAGCTTAGTTGTTACATATTTCATTCGTAGTTTCGTGGTAATTAATTGAAGGTGGAGGGGTTACCAGCCCCTCGCACCCGTCCAGAGCCCCCGTTTAGCCCCTGTGGTGGACACATATGCCATGAGGGGAGGAGCCAATCAAAATTGGATCTCCCCCCACAGCGCTGTCCACGACAGAGTTGCCCGTCCGGCACCGCGAGGAGGTAGGGGGTTGTTTTGCCGGACACACACACACACACACTTGACCACACACACACACTCACACACTTGACCACACACACACACTTGACCACACACACACACTCACACACTTGACCACACACACAACAACAACAACAACAACCGCCATTCGCCACTAAGTGACGGTGACGTCACCACGACGCTTGTGCCAGGCTATGTGCACCCTGAGGCCACGTGAAGTGTCGAACGCCCGCTGGCAGGAGGTCACGGGGCAGACCCAGGTGCCACGGGTCGACTGACTGAGATGACTGGCTGATGCACCACCTGTGCCCCCTACTGTGCCAACCTGCTGTGCTTTAGCCACCCGGCACTCCGCTCGCTGTTGTGAGCGTCGCTCCTCCGCCCTCCATTGTTGTTGGAGGGCGACTGCCTCCAACTGCCCAGTAGCATCCTTCACGAGCCTCCTCCACAGAGGCCGATCTTGACACCGCTGGTACCAGTCATCGGCAAGTCCACTCAGCTCCACGTCCTCCTGTACCACATCACTCCATCTCCTCTCTAGCCCGTGCCGCGCCCGCTTAGCCCCCTCAATCCGGCCAAACAAAAGCGGTTTCGGCATGCGGTGGCTGGGCATGCGGGCTACATGACCCAGCCATCGCAGCCTTGCCTGCCGGAGGAGCTCACCGATGGGACCCTGCCCAGATCTTTCAAGGATTTGTGAGCTCCTCACACAATCCAGTCTGGTTAAACCCAGGATGGATCGTAGGCAGGCCAGCCTAAATGTTTCTAACCGGCGAAGATGTTCCATTAGGGGGGTCCACGTTTCGCAAGCGTAGAGAAGGGAGGGAATGACCGTGGCCGAGAAGACCTGAAGCTTAGTGCGGAGCGACAGACCAGGTAGCTTCCACACAGCGTTACGCAACCGATGAAAAGATATTGCCGCTCGACTGATTCGGAGTGAGACCTCTGCTGTTAAACTGGAGCCAGTCATAAGCACACTGCCCAGGTATGGGAAACTCTCCACTCTCTCCACAACTGCCCCATCACCGATTGGGAGTTGTGGGGGTGGAGTGTCCGATGGTACAAAATACCCAGGCAGGTGCTTAGTTTTGGTGGGGCTGATGGTAAGGCCCCACCTCTTAGTGGCACGCTCCAGTCTCAGCAGCAGCGTCTCCAACTCCTCCTCTGACTGAGCAGCTATTACCAAGTCATCAGCATACATAACGTGGTTGAGCAATAGGGAGCCATCCCTTGACCGCACCCGGGCATCGATTAGCCTCCCATTATATCTGTACCATATGGAGATTCCCCCGGTACAGCTATTGAAGGCTTCACGAACTACGTGGTCAAAATAGATGTTAAATAATGTGGGAGCCAGAGGACATCCCTGTCGCACCCCAAGGTGTACAGGGAATGGCTCTGACTCCCGGCCACGTAGTTTTACCCGGGCCCGCTCACCATCATGAAGGTCCTTAATGATCGTGAGCAGAGGGTCAGGTACTCCAAAAGCACGAAGAACGACCCAGAGCCCAGGCCTACTGATGGTATCATAGGCCTTGACCAGGTCAATGAAGCAGAGATGTAGGTCTTGTTGGAATTCCCTACACCTCTGCTGTAGCAGACGGACAGAAAATATGGCATCTGTGCAGGACCGCCCTTTCCTGAAACCGCATTGGGGCTCCGCAAGCCTCTCCTCAGCGTGCCTGGCAAGGCGATGCTGAATAATCCTTGCCACACACACACACACTTGACCACACACACACACACACTTGACCACACTCACACACTTGACCACACACACACTCACACACTTGACCACACACACACTCACACACTTGACCACACACACACTCACACATTTGACCACACACACACACACACTTGACCACACACACACTCACACACTTGACCACACACACACTCACACACTTGACCACACACACACTCACACACTTGACCACACACACACACTTGACCACACACACACACTCACACACTTGACCACACACACACACTTGACCACACCCACACACTTTATCACACATTTGACCCCACACACACACTCACACACTTGACCACACACACACTCACACATTTGACCACACACACACACACACACTTGACCCCACACACACACACTTGACCACACACACACACTCACACACTTGACCCCACACACACACACTTGACCACACACACACACTCACACACTTGACCACACACACACACACTTGACCACACACACACACTTGACCACACACACACACTCACACACTTGACCACACACACACTCACACACTTGACCACACACACACACTTGACCACACACACACTCACACACTTCACCACACACACACACTTCATCACACACACACACTCACACACTTGACCACACACACTCACACACTTGACCACACACACTCACACACTTGACCACACACACACACTCACACTTGACCACACACACACTTGACCACACTCACACACTTGACCACACACACACCGAGGGGTAGTGGGCTCCGTGCTTCTCGCGAGCACCGTTGCGGTTCAGCGTGTAGTTGTAGAAGCGCGAGTTCTTGACGAGGCCGAGCCACTCGCGCCAGCCGGGCGGCACGTAGCTCCCGTTGTACTCGTTCAGGTACTTGCCAAAGAAGCCTGCACACGGGGCACGCACACAAAGACAAAGATCCCCCGTATAGCTTTAACAAACTGTAGGGGCAAGTGCTGTTAGCGAGCACCTATGAAAGCCGGAACGGTAGACGAGGGGGTGGGTGGCCAGCACCACGCCCGACCGCCTTTGTCTCCCCAGTGGCGATGTTTACTACACACACCGCACCAGGTACTCATTTGAGGCTGAGTCGACCTAGGAGAGGCCCAGGACCGGTTCAGATAATCGTCGCCGGTGTTAGCTGTGAGCGGGAATCGAACCCAGGGTCACCAGGTTCATAGCACAGCGCGCTAACCGCAACACCACCGCTCCCCAAGGGGCACACACACACACATGCCACCCGTCGCCTGATTAGTAAAAATGCGTCCACCTCTGTGGTGAGGGCTGGGGAGGCACTCAGCACTCTTTCATTGCCCACATTTAGACCCAGGCGCTGAAAGTGTGATTCAACAGCATGTCCGAGGGATGGGGTTTGGGAGACGGTGTCTGGGCAGGCCTTGCCTCACCTGTACAGGTTAAGGTGTGGGCAGCTGCTGTATCCATCTCTCACCTGCATGGATTAGGCTTAGACAGAGCTGGGTGTCTCACCTGCATGAGATAGAATCAGGTGATCCATTCCAAGTCTAACTTAAACAGCCCAGGCTCACCTGTACGGATTCGGCTTAGGACACGTGTTCTATCCATGTCTCACCTGTACGGATTAGGCTTAGGACACGTGTTCTATCCATGCTTCACCTGTATGAATTAGGCTTAGGATATGTGTTCTATCCATGTCTCACCTGTATGTATTAGGCCCAGGCTCAGGACACGAGCTCTATCCCTGTCTCACCTGTATGGGTCAGGCCTCGGGTGGTTTGCATCGGGAGCTCTACCCTGGCCTCACCTGTGCGGTAGCCGGCGCGGCTCAGGTGCACGGCGAATGTGCGGGGCTCGTGCGCCGCCTGCCAGGAGGGCGAGGAGCAGTTCTCGTTGTTGGTGTACACGTCGTGGTTGTGCGAGTATTTCCCCGTGAGCATGGAGGAGCGCGACGGGCAGCACACGGGCGTCGTGACGAACGCGTTGGTGAAGTGGGCGCCGCCGCGCTCCATCAGCTGCCGCGTCTTGTTCATCACCAGCATCGAGCCTGGGAGGGGGGGGGGGGCGGTTAGGGGGGCCACGGTACGAGAGAGAGAAAGAAACCCACATTGTGTGATCTCGTAGCTGGCAACCCATATGATTCACCTCGTATTCTTATACATGGAAATTTAGTTTTCAGGTCCATACGGCGTACAGACGTTTCAATACGGGCAACACATTGTTTTTCTTCATCATCATTGTACGCCTTTTGGCGTCCTCTGGTCTAGCACCGTTTGAGATGAGGCTCAAAAGAAAGCTGTCTCTGGTGTGAACCAATCCGTTTCAAGGACAATGCATATATTATTGGTGTGTTTTTTGTTTGCATTCTGATCATAAGTATTGTCGTTAATGCAGACATGATTCCTTGTAAAAGGTTTCAGTTTTGTTGCCAGAAAAAAGTGGAAAAACCCTATTCTTAATTTTTTTCTCTGTTCGTGTTTCTCCCTTGTGATGGGACTTTGTAGGATGAACGTTGAGATTTATAAGGGCACGGGGTGACCGAAAAGGTCTGAATTGGTCTGTAATAAGGTAGGCACTGATAAGGGGTTGACAGGTACGTGATCTTGTCGTTAAATCCGGCAGGTTTATGATTGCGCTACGATGCTATATAAATGCCGTTCAGAGAATGTGAGTCGATTAGCACGGCTGGCTACGTACGGTGGGAAAAATTTCAACGCTGCCAGAAAGGGTAAAACCTATTCTTATTTTTTCATACATTGATACTGGAAAAAAGGTCTCATTTTGTAGCTGCTCACCCCGAGTAATAAATGTTCTGATAGTGGCATTGTCTTTGTACTGCTCGCCTTTTGGCGTTCTCTGGTCTGACACTGGTGAGACTAGGCCATGAAGAAGGCCGCTGTCTCAGGTGTGGGCCAATCAGTTTCAAAGACAATGCATCATTTATTATCACAGTATGTTTGTTTGTTTGCATGGTCACCACCAGTACGTGTGGTGAATGCAGACATGAATCCTTGTAAAAAGGTTTCTAGTTGGTGTTTAAACATCTTAACACAGCTGTTTTATTGCCAGAAAGGGTAGAACCTATTCTTTTTTTTCATACATCCATACACACGTGTCAATTCCGTTGAACACGTAGGCTTTCGCGACCAATATCCATAATAGAGGTTTTTTGGGTAATATATTGTAAATATATTCAACATTAACCAACCCCTCTGGCCTTCGCAACTGATTGATCACGAATGACGGCATCACATTTATCCCTCGATTGAAGAACAAAACAAGAGGAAATTCTCAACAAATCTGTCTGTCGGCTGATGATGCTAGTTGTATTTACTGGCGAAACGTGACGGTTCTCGACTTGTAAATACTGCGAATTTACTCTCCAACGCACCGCTGTGCTGCGTCGGGCGGTGGCGTGTTCAACGACACATTTATACTTACGCGATCTAACCCAATTGAACCTCTATCATGAATACGCGCCGATTGCTGCCCTCCCCGAGTGTCAGCGGCCGTGAAGCCCGGCGCGCTGACGGGCGCCAAACTCGAGAGCCGTGCGCCGCTGGATCCATACCGAGCTCGACGTCCTGGTCGTCGGTGAGGATGAGGATGATGTTGGGCGCCCTTCGAGCACGCGCGGGCCGGAGGTTAGGGTCCGAGGCGAGGCCAGGGCACACGGACGCGGAGAGGCACAGAAGCAGCAGCAGCAGCAGCGGCAGCGGCGGTGGCAAAGAAGGTGACGGGGACTCCATGGTGGACGAACGAAAGCCACCCGCCAACTGGGAGAGAAACAGTCTTCGTCATCGTCGTCGTCATTCTCATTATCGCTTCATTGCAAACTCAACAAATCAATCTGCATGTGCTTGATCTCAGTAGGCCTCGAAAAGCCTGGTCAGCGCTTGGATGCGTGAACACCGGGCGCTCGCAAAGTATTGTAGAAAGGCCACCCAAAACTTGCAGAGCTTCTGCAATTAGATGAAACTGGGTGCATGCAGGATGATCATTTACATTACAGACGAACACTGTGGTGCAGTAGCACATGCCGATAATCTAGTGGTGGATTGCAATCTGCTGGGTATGTGCGACATTATGAGGGCTGAGCACTTTAACCGAGCCTCATGATCATTCATGAACTTCACAATAATGTTTCTGAGTAAACGAAAACATTATAGCTGAGCCACAATTTGCAAGTGGCAACTTTTTTTTTAGATAAACCGAATACACGACTCAAAGGGGTCAGAGGGCAGGGTTCAGTATTCAGAACAATGAGCCAATACCACCGAGAAACTGGATCTGAATCGAGGTTTCACCCACCCACTATTAAACCGATTCCTCGAGCGGGGTTCGTTGATGGTCTCTGCCTGGTCACAAAATGCCGCACACATACAAGAAAAACAACGTGTGAAATTACAATAGTGCTGTTTGCTTAATTTTTGGAATATTCCAGCTACATGAATGCAAACTATTTGGTTTTGACTGACAGGAGATAAACAATCCTGGCAGCACGTAAACAAATGTGCCCCTATATTACAAGTGACAATCAGAAAAAATGCCAGTTCATAGCACAGGTGAGGGTTGACTCAGCCCATCATAACACGACTACCACCTTTTGGGGAAGTCAGCATTTAGTTGCCCGGTGGATAGACTCGCCCCAGCCATAGGAATGTGTAATTTCCACCACTGGCTCAGGACTGTAAACAGAAGAGCACAGCTTCAATGATCATTTGAGAGGAAAATCGCCTTTGAGTTTGGATAAAAAGGTCAATTAAAGCGCCTTCAGTACCAGTGTCTGTGAGATAATCTTCTGGGCTCATTCTTTGACAGAGTGATGCACTGCCTGCTGCAGATTCCACATGAAATATTATTCGTCCAACGACATGATGAATTGAAGAACTTCCTAACTACCCCTGTGGCTATTTGGTAACATTATTATTGATCTATGGCTACTACAGCACATAAAATATACAACTATCCACAGCACAAATTATATATTCTGAGTCCCCGCTTTCAATTCACAAACTCTCAGTAATACAATTATAGAAGGGTATAGACAAAAGAATAATGTGTAGTGAGATGAAGATACAGATGAGACAGAGATGTAGTGAGATGACAGATACAGATGAGACAGAGATGTAGTGAGATGGGATAAGGGAGATACAGATGAAAGAGAGATGCAGTTATATCAGAGACGAAAGTTACATAAGAGATGAAGCCGAGGTATAGTGAGATGAGAGAAGAGATACAGATGAGACAGAGATGTAGGGAATTGAGAGAGACAAGGATTGAGTCAGATAACAGAAGAGAGATACAGACAAGATAGAAATGAAATCCATTAAATACTCTTTATTATATGTTCATTATGATTTGAATTCGATCTGACATTGGTTTCACCAATATATATTTCTGTAGCTCCATTAATCCGTGCGCCTCGTGAGCTTCCAGGGGCCCTAAGCCTTTGCCACCGTGGGCCATGTATATTACGTGGGCCATGTACATTACGTGGGCCATGTACATGACGTGGGCCATGCACATTACGTGGGCCATGTACATGACGTGGGCCATGTACATGACGTGGGCCATGTACATGACGAGGGCCATGTACATTACGTGGGCCATGTACATGACGTGGGCCATGTACATTACGTGGGCCATGTACATGACGTGGGCCATGCACATTACGTGGGCCATATACATTACGTGGGCCATGTACATGACGTGGGCCATGTACATTACGTGGGCCATGTACATTACGTGGGCCATGTACATTACGTGGGCCATGTACATTACGTGGGCCATGTACATTACGTGGGCCATGCACATTACGTGGGCCATGTACATGACGTGGGCCATGTACATGACGTGAGCCATGTACATGACGTGGGCCATGTACATGACGTGGGCCATGTATATTACGTGGGCCATGTACATGACGTGGGCCATGTACATTTCGTGGCCATGTACATTACATGGGCCATGTATATTACGTGGGCCATGTACATGACGTGGGTCATGTACATGACGTGGGCCATGTACATTACATGGGCCATGTACATTACATGGGCCATGTACGATACGTGGGCCATGTACATGACGTGGGCCATGTGCATTACGTGGGCCATGTACATTTCGTGGCCATGTACATTTCGTGGCCATGTACATTTCGTGGGCCATGTACATGACCTGGGCCATGTACATGACGTGGGCCATGTACATGACGTGGGCCATGTACATGGCGTGGGCCATGTACATTACATGGGCCATGTACATTACATGGGCCATGTACATTACATGGGCCATGTACATTTCGTGGCCATGTATATTACGCGGGGCAAGAGCATTACGCATGCCGTAGACACAAACACGCGAGTCGCACCTGCCCGGCCTCCCAGCGGCGTGACATTGCTCACTGAGCCGCGCATACGTTTAACCTTTGTGAGCGGTGCTTGCGGGGGGGGGGGGGAGATGGTGGGAGGGTGTTGGGGGGGGGTCGAGCAGCACTCGCATCGATTGGGGGCGGCGTGGACCGTGAGACGACCCCCAAACCACACACAGCTCGGGCGCCATCGGCGTCGCGCGCTGTAGCAGCGGCGAGTGAATCGAACGTCCGTTCGCGAAGCCGGGCGACAGTTGTCCCCTTCGGTGATGAAAGCGAAGAGGCGAGACGAACGAAGGCGTTGCTGGCCAACGACGAAGGCGGCGAAGCGCCTTGACTAAACACGCAAGGCGACTAGCTCAATCGAAGTCGTTTAAAGTGTTTGTGTTGTTGTTATTGCTACGTGTTTATTATTCGGTTGCCGTGCGCGTTTAGTTTGTTTCATTGTTGTCGCATGTACCTCGAATAGGCTGTGGTACACGAAACGAACGGGTAGCAGTTATGCGCGCTGGTAATTAAGTGTTATTGTTTTCGAGAAAGATGTACTTTTTTTGGGAGTATCCTTTATTTAACCGAGGAGATTAATTATAGGCTCCCCGTTGAGACACGTGGTTCACATTGCATCTTTTGCAAGGGCAATCTGGGTTACAATAATCCATTTATAATGCAATATGTCTAAAAACTTTTAAAAAGTAAGCAATTTGAACTATATATCACAATAACAGTTATGTAGTGATGATGATTAATTGATTGTGAGCATGGTGGTGGTGGTTATAAATGATTAGGCTATTAAAATAACTACTGCTCTCCATTGAATTTGACAACTAAGCCCTCGTGAAAACAGACCTTGAGACTCAGTTGAGGTTATTCTATAGTTAGTACACGTATCATGTTTACAGTATATCAGGAGTGAACACAGATAAAAATATAAGAATATAGAAAGTCGAACATTATTAACAATTTTCCGAATCTGAGTTTCATCCAAAGCTAAATTAAGTACGATGCTTACTCCACAGTGTAAGATCACATTGGCTCACGATCAGCAGGAAGATTAATCTTGGCATCATGTGACTTGTGGAATGGCACAGCGTAGGGAGGACTTCATCCAACAGTGAAGAGAGCATGGACTGTGGTCGTAAATGACAATGATGATGATGATATCAACAGTTACACAACTTCTGAATCTGTAACAATGTAATCTGGTAAAATGTAAAGGCACAGCCCTGCAGCTGCTCGCTTACGCCACCGCTGGTGGAAGGTTCTTCACTAGAGGGAGCTACTTGGAGACCCTCTACATTAACTACAACAATAAAATGCACTTTGACATATACAACAACAACCGCCATTCACTCAAAACTGCCCTAGAGGAGTTGTACACCCCTAGCTGCCACTGCTATTCAGTGACCTAAAATAAAATAAAATGCTTTGCTCCGGATGACCGCTGCAAAGTATTAACTGTATTTTGATTTAGCGTGCTGATCTTCAAGGTGCATTGAAAAATGTGATACTCCGACCGATGCTTCTGTTGTTGTGGAGTAACTCAAGCTATGGCTCTAGGGTTTGGTGTTACATGTTATTTAGGTAGTTTATTGTAAAAAAATTGGTCACAGTCCCTATGATCACTGTTACATTGCATTTATGGCTTTATTTTGGTGATTTCGAAAACGTTTTTTGGTTTGGCCATGTTTTTGTGTATTGTAGTACGGAGTTAGACTGATGGCCTTAATCTTAGTTGTCTTGTGGTTGTTGTTGTTTGACTTGCATCCCACTGGGATTTTTGCACACAGCGTTAGTGTACGGTGCTATTTCAGGGATATTTAGATTTTTTCCTGGATTTTCTGTTTGCACAGTCACATAGTCACTTTAAGATGTTTTCTTGTTCATGTTTTTGTATTTTGTTTGTTGCGGTTGCACCCGATTCAAGAGCCGAATGGCTCACAGGGCTATACCAAATAAATGGAACTATGAACTACGATTCGACACGAAGTGGCGGTGACGTTACCACAGCGCTTGTGGCAGGCTATGTGCACGTTGAGGCCATGTGAAGATATATATATACACACTGCGTACAATTATATTGGCTAGCAACCTAAACGCAAATACACGTGAAACGGTAGTTGTTAAAATGAAAGTCAATTTTCGCGTGCTGTCGTGATGCAATGGTTGGCACACTGGACTCGCAACCCAGAGGCCACGGGTTCAATTCCATCTCCAGCTATTAGTCCGCTAAATGACATCCCATAGCACGATCCCAACCTCTCAGGCAATTTGCATATTAGGCTCCACGTGACAACTTGATTTGATCGGCTCTGTCGGGTGGTCGAGGGTTATAGTAAACAATTTTTAGACAAAATCTCAGACAAAATTAATTAAGTATGAATCATGATTATTGGTCGTGAAAGTCAATACGTATGACATTCACTGACTCCAGTTTGCTGATGTTGATTATAGAGAGCTTTTGTTCATCGCCTGTCACTCAAACGGCATCACCCACTGCACGTAACAAAGACAAAGATCCCCCGTATAACTTTAATAGACTGATGGGGCAAGTGCTGTTAGCGAGCACCTATGAAGGCCAGAACGGCACACGAGGGGGTGGGTGTCCAGCACCACGCCCGGCCGCCTTTGTCTCCCTAGAGGCGATGTTTTTACGCACCGCGCCAGGTACTCATGTGAGGCTGATTCCAACTACGGGAGGCCCAGGACCGGTTCATACAATCGTCACTGGTGTTGGCCGTGAGCGGGAAGTGAACTCGGGATTCCGGGTTCTGCACGTAACACACTAACACACGCGCAAGTGCAAGTACCGTGCATAGGTTAACAGAGTAGACACGATAAAAATACGCATCTGCAATGAGCAACAGCGGAACCAGACGAGGCATTTCTGCAGAACGTCAATGTCTCATCTCTCTTCCTGCCACCTCCGATTAGCACGGTCGGCTACATGCGGTGCAAAATAAGTTCAACGTACGCACACATCGCATAACCATCATTGTAATCATCAGCCATTGTCAATCCACTGCTGGCTGAGGGCCACTCCCTAGCCGGCAACATCTCTCACAATGCTGCGAAGCTAAAACAAGCAACCTGCCTGCCCCGCGAACTGATTTAATCGCCCCATCTCCTCGATGGACGAGTTCTAGGACAAGTCACGCTCCTTGGTGATTATCGATGATACGAATAACACAACAATCAAACCACATCGGTGGCAAACACGGACAAATATTTAGTCAGTCTTAAAATTGTCCCTGACACCCCCCCCCACACTCCCACCTATTGTCTACGAGTTTGTGTTCAAATCCCATAGATTAATTGGACACTGAACATTTTCTTACAATGAAATCAAACAAACACACGTGTGTGATGCTTAGTTGGCAGTGGTGCACAGGCACAAATACCAACAAATACACGTAACACATTCATCAAAAACACTGGCGTAAAGGGAGCATATATATAATTAATAGATGGCGTTACGGACAATGACGATTCTTCGCAGCAGAGAAGGTCAATTGCTCTGATGATGATGGTGATGATGATGGCGATGTAAGAAACATTTGCACAATACCTGAAATTGACGTTTCGGGTAACGGCCCTTATTCATATCAGAGAAAGCGCCGTTAGCCGAAACATCATCGCCTATTAAGTAAGGATAACCTTACTCAGGGCAATGCGGAGCGCTGCGTGCGGCAGAGCAGTGACTTGACACGCGCGCGCGAGAAAGTCAATGCACCACGAGCAATTCTCCTTTACCGCATGCAACCGCAAGTCGCTGATCTGCGCGCAGTGACAGGGAAGACTCACAGCTCTCCGCCGGCAGCGAACACCTTCCCATCAGAGAAGGTGGACGCGTGAAGATTTGCCTCGGTGTGAAAAGGCGACTAGCGTCGCGCGGAGCCGGTCGGTTTTGCCGGAGCGTCGCGTCTCACTGCATCGTCTTCATCCGGGCCCACGTTCACAACAACAACAAAAAAACTCAACTTAGAAGGGACACTGAGACGGAGCTCCGTGCGCGAATGATCTGTATCACACAACCAGCGGAGAGAGAGAGATAGGGAGGGAGAGAGACGGGGGAGGTGGGGGGGTGGTGCAGTAGCGAGAGGGTCGGGGTTGGTTCTGTAGGGAGCGAGGTCTAGCGGCTCCTAGGGTTAGGGTTGGCTCACCACCGCGCGGGGCTCCAGGGTTTGTCGCGATGTCGTTGCCCCACGATACGATAACGGTCGCGCGATGTTACATTCAGTCCAAGATGTGACGATTATCGCGATATTGGTTTGTCCGTTACATCAACAACGGCGCAGGCTTATTCGCTTGGAATGTTTTTTTTGTTTGTTATTCATTATCTGGAGAATTTGATACGTCGGCTTTCACGGCCAATGTGCGATTCGTAATTGTTTCATTTAGGGTTAAATAGTGTTGGTTTAAATCAAATGACATTATACCTACACAATCTAACCCAAAATAAACTAATTATAAATCATATTATATGCTGAAAATGAGTCGCGCGACTCAGTGAGGCTTTGCTGGGCAAACAATTGGCATACGATTATCACTGGCTTTGTGACGCAGTGGATGGTACTCGCCTGTGCGTCGTATAATCCGGTGGCTGTATGAATATTGGTGTGTGTCTGTGTGTGTTTGTGTGTGTCTGTGTGTCTATTTGTGTGTGTCTGTGTGTGTGTCTGTGTGGGGGGCACTAGTGTAGCGGTTAGCGCGCTGCGCTACGAACCTGGTGAAACGGTTTCGATTCCCGCTCACTGGCCAACATCAGTGACGATTATCTGAACCGGTCCTGGGCCTCCCCTAGGTCGACTCAGCCTCAAATAAGTACCTGGTGCGATGTGTAAATATCGCCACTCGGGAGACAAAGGCGGCCGGGCGTGGTGTTGGCCACCTACCCCCTCGTGTGCCGTGCCGGCCTTTATAGGTGCTCGCTAACAGCACTTGCCCCTACAGTCTGTTAAGGCTATAGGGGGGATCTTTGTCTTTTATTGTGTGTGTGTCTGAAAGACGGGGAGCGGTAGTGTAGCGCTTAGTGCGCTGCGCTACGAACCTGGCGACCCGGGTTCGATTCCCGCTCACGGCCAACACCAGTGACGATTATCTGAACCGGTCCTGGGCCTACCCAAGGTCGACTCAGCCTAAAATGAGTACCCGGTGCAGTGTGTAACCATCGCCACTAGGGAGACAAAGGCAGTCGGGCGTGGTGCTGGCCACCCACCCCCTCGTGTGCCACAGTTGCCGGCCTTCATAGGTGCTCGCTATCAGCACTTGCCCCAACACTCTGTTACAAGCTATATGGGGGATCTTTGCCTTTGTTCCTTCACAGTACTTGCCCCAGTCATCTGTTAAGGCTAATACGGGGGGATATTTGTCATTTGTGCGAGAGGCCAGATATGTGAATCACTTTACGGACACTTTCGGGTGCGTCTGATATCGGGAGCATCTTATAATCGTAAAAATACAATCGCCGGTGATATGTCTGCAACGGTCCGAGCTTCACTAATCCCGCATTGACCAGCGTGAGCAGACACGGCGTGTGGAAGCACTGCAGCCAGCCAGTGGCTAGAATTATTACCGGGCGTACTTTCTTTTTTTCAAGATTAGAATTCCGTTGTCTCGGAAAACATGATCCATCTCAGCGTGATCCACCAACACTTGGTCGCATAGCTACCACAGGCGGCTGTTATTTGTTTTTTTACTGGTAGGAACCTCCTGGTTACACCAGCCCACAGGGGATTATTGGGTCCGTCCGTCGTGCATCCAAAATTGGGAGGGGTGGGGCAGGGTGGAGAGGGGAGGGTGGGGAGGGGCTGGGTGGGGAGGGTGGGGAGGGGCTGAGTGGGAGGGGTGGGGCTGGGTGGGGAGGGGCTGGTCACCCCGTGGTGCCCTTATAAAACTGAACGTTTAACCTACTCACGCCGGCTTGTACCCGCCCTCACAGTCGGGCATATTTGCGTAATACACCACGTGGTGCCGCCGTTGACCCTGGCCATTGACCGAGCAACCCAACGTTCCTACCAGCTCCCTCCGCAGGAATGTGTTTTTTTGTATCTTTGCGTCAACTTGCACACATCACCACACGCGGCAAACTCCAGGCGGAATGCGCCGAAGCGAATCGAGAGCAATTACGCGAAATGCCTGGCGCCTTGAGTAATTGCTTCTTGCTGTGAAGGTGAAGGCACAGGCCTTGCGATGGCCCGCTCACGCCACTGATGGTGGACTACGGCCTCCAGCCGAGGGAGCTGTAGAGAAGCCGCTCTCGATGCGACTCGGCCCCTTGTCTTCAACGCAGCTCAGACGCCTCGGAAGAGGTCGTGTGGGAGTTGCCCACGATTTACCCCACCACACGTGACTTGCCGCTCGGCTAGATTGGAAATGTATCCAATCTTGATTTGAAGCTTTCGTGACTGCAGGAATCCATACTCTTTGGTTCTTTCGGTAAAGTCACGTAGGTTAGAAAAATAATATATCACGACGTTTCGATCGCAACACAAGCGACCATCAGCGGTTTCCCTGCTGTGATTGTCTCACCTGATGACGGTCGCTTGTGTTGAGATCGAAACGTCGTGATATATTATTTTCTACCTACGTGACTTTACCGATAGAACCAAAAAGTATTAAATGTATCCGTTTATACCCCTGGGTGGATAGAGACGGGATGGGGGGGAGGGAGGGGTGGGGGAGATTTCATCAACTTGCCGCGTTTGTTTCAAATTCCATGCCGGGAGATGGAATCGAACCGGCGACCTCTATTACAGGCGCTGGAGTCATTACACAAAGGGCAGCTGCTACCCGTTAATCGTCACTGATGTCACTCGCCACTGATGTTAGCCGAGTCCAAGAATCGGACTGAGGCGGCCGGATAAAAATGTGCATCGTGTTAATCGCTGCACCACGGCTCCCTCCAACCCGAAATAAGTATTTGTATTTTTCACTCAAACGTTTAAATACAAAGCATTTTACATTATACTACGAGTTCAATTCCTGGTTGGGGGTTGATTCGGCCCATCATGGCGCACGGGTCGATACAATGATACCACTTTGTGGTGAAGTCATCAGTGGCTGGTCTATGGTAAGACTCGCCCCCGTCATATAAATGTGGAACTTCCATCACTCGGGTTTTAAAGGGAGATGTGAACTGCCCCAAAGCTCATTTTCAGCAACTCAACTTAGTTTGTTATACAGCAACAGTGAAATGCTATAAAACAGCAACCCTAACTTATAGGTGCTCGCTAACACTCCATATAGTATATATTATGGCTGGCATAAGCGGTTTTTTTTGCCATGCAGCCGAGTCAAAATATTAGATACAAGGAGACCCGTTGCATTATTGATGGCATGAGAATTCAATAACGTAGCCCTATTTGATGTGGACTGAACAAAAACCCGAAGATTTCATAAGGGCTTGCGGCTTCTTTGTGACTTGCGATAATAGCACCGTAAGCATCTTGTGTCTCAATTTAAGGTGGGGTTTTTTTGTTGTTGTAAAATAAACACAACTCAACACATTCGTCAATAACAATGTGGCTGCAAACTATGCGATGTAACCAATAACCCCGATGCCCCAGCTGTCCATACAGACTGTCGGGGAAAGTGCTGTTCAAGCAACAACAGCAGAAAGTTCGCGACCAACGTCGCAGTGATGTCACCACTGCGCTTGTGCCAGGCTAGCTGCAATTCGGCGCCACGTGACGTCTCCAAGGCTCTCTGACACAACCACAAGACTGACTCAGGTAATATGGGTTGACTGACGGAGACGACGGTTCGATGCACCACCTGTGCTCCATACTGTGCTTTCTAAATTTTACCCGGCCCGGGGCTCCGCTCGTTGTTGTGAGCGTCGATCCCTCTTGCCCGTCGTTGTTGTTAGAGGGCGACTGCCTCAAACTTTCCACTGGCGTTCCTCCCCAGCCTCCTCCATAGAAGCCGATCTCAACACCACTGGTACCGGTCATCTTCAAGTCCAATCATCCCCACATCATTCTGTACCGCATCTGTCCATCTCTTCTCTGGCCCGTGCCGCGCAAATGGAGCTCCCGCTATCCAGGCCATACAGGAGCTGCTTGGGCATGCGGTGGCTGGGCATGCAGGCTACATGTTCACACACACACACTGCTGGCGTTTATTTGTAAGCATGCAATTTTCCGTATGACAAATTTTACGTGAAAAATACACGAATGACTCGCTGAGAAATGCATGCGCACACACAGGCTCACTCGCACGTAGGCATGCTAATATTTACACCACGAATGCCAAACCCGAAGTTCGCCGGTTCGATCTCCCGGGGCGGAAGTGCTGCAAACGTCCTCATCCGCCCCTTCCACCCCACCACCCTCCTCACCTGCCCACCCTGCAGTAGAAATGGGTAACGCCGTATTCAATCGATCGGCAGTTTGCTTGTGGTGGCTCAAGTGTGGGTAGATCCCACCTCGTCCAAAGAGTATCTCTCCGGCGTGGAAGAGGAGGCCAAAATATAATCTAGATCAGTGTTCTTCACTCGTATCCTGATAAGACATCATGCGTGTAAGGGCCGCCAAACATTTGAAACCATTGGGGGGTTTGACAGCAGCACGATGATGATGATGGGGGTTATAATAGGGGTTTTTTCCCCTTTTTTTCTGGCAACAAAACTGAAACCTTTTAACGAGGATTCATGTCTGCATTAACCACAATACCTGCAGTCAAATGCAAACAAAAACATACTATGATAATATATGATGCATTGTCCTTGAAACTGATTGGTCCACACCAAGGGACGGCTTTCTTTTGAGCAGTTTCAAGGACAATGCATATATTATCAAAGTATGTTTTTTTTTGTTTGCATTTTGACTGCAGGTATTGTGGTTAATGCAGACATGAATCCTTGTAAAAAAAGGTTTCAGTTTTGTTGCCAGAAAAAAGGGGAAAAACCCTATTGTTATATTTTGGTACTGGCAAAGGAGGTCTAATGATGTAGATGCTCACCCCGAGCCCTCATTACTTTGATAGTGCATTGTCTTTGAGCTGTACGCCTTTTGGCGTCATCTGATCGAGCACCAATTGGGTCGAGGCTCAAAAGAAAGCCGTCCCTTGGTGTGGACCAATCAGTTTGAAGGACAATG